ATCATGCCACCTTGGAGCATTGGTCTATCTCGGTGTTTCTCAACCTTGGTGATTTTAAGATCTATGGATTTCAACTCCCAGAATTCCCCAGCCAGCACAGCTCTATACCATTGGAAGCTACGTTGCACAATTCCTTTCTGCTAGTCCCATCTGGATCTGGAGTTGGAAACAAAGCCCAAAAATCTTGATGCAGAACAGGTGTTGTACCTCTGAGTTTCCTCAAAGTAAAACAATAATTAGAAAAAGACAACCCAAGACTGTTCAGGTTGAATCATGTTGATAGCATCATTCACAGATTGCTTGGCTTGACTCATTACGGTTCCCACCTAGAGTCTTCTCTTGATAAGCATGTCATTTCTTGATTGATTTGTCTCTTGCAGTTTCCTGCAAACTGTGAATGATGGACAGGTTTTCAACAGTGTTAAGTAACTGCCTCTTATGGAAGGGTCAAGATTAATAGCCTCCTTCTGCTATTGCGGGCTTTCAAAAAAGTCTTAATCAAGATACTTATTACATGCCATGATCATTCCAAAGTATTTTTCCAATTAATAAATGGCTCTCCAAACACAGTTTAATGTACCATGGGCTGAGCAAATAATAATTACCAATAATAAATTGGACTGGATTAACCCAATACATTATAACCTTATTAAAAAGAGAAAGAGACAGATTGATACCCATTGCTTTGAAATGAAATAAAGGGGAAATATCATTCCAGTTAGATTCCCCAAAAATATTTCAACTGCCAAGGTTGCTTTTTGGGAGCGCTTAGTTTTTCTGACTCAGTGACTGACTATGACTGATCAAGCTACAAACCACCAACTACACCTTAGCTACGCCATTCAGATTGTGCTTTCAGACTGGGCGCATCACACAAACTCCAAAAATTGAGCTAATTGAGTAAAGTACTTCCCAAAAGTGCTTTTTCAAAAGGCAAGTGGACTTTGTGTGTCAGAGTATACAAAGCTTTTCTACATGAGACAATCCAGGAGCAACAACAGCAAACAGAGGTTTGTAATAAATAGTGGAAATAGTGGTTTTATCTACAGAAGAATATATATTATACATACATATACTATAGGCAGAAGTCAAACAAGCAGCAATTACAGCAGGGAAGAACACGCAGTGAGAGAAAGTTGTCCTAACAGGGCCTCTTCTTATTATACAGGCTCTTAAAGGGATAACAGCCAAAAACCTTGCCGGCTCATTCCCATCATTGCATCAGCTGGTCAACTCTTAAATCACTGTCCTGACATTGTGTTTCCTTGAAGACCATGTCACTCAAAAGCCTATATTCCAGGGAAACCTTAATTTCCTACACTTGCATGGAAGGTGGAATCCTTGCAGGACATCCAAATTTGGATAACCCAAGAGAAAATTAAATGCATCTAATTCTTTATTGTTTCAAAGAGAATTATTCATGATCCTCACTTACATGGTTCAGTGTTTTATTTTATTTTTTCTCCCTCTCACTTTAGAATTGATAGTTCTTCTCTGATCTTTGCATGACAGGCGGGTGGAAAAAAAATATACTTCCCAGAAAATGCTTTGATGGCGCTTATAATGAGTGAAGAAAAAGAACAAGAACGACTAATAGAAAATGATACAATATCATCCAGGATAGTGACAATCTGAAGGCTCTCCCTTGGGTTCTGCTGTTGTACGTAGGTTTGTGAGATCACAGAGGTAGCGACACAAATTAGAACTATCACATGCTGCAGTTTGTGGGACTCAACACTTTCTTTTTTGGGTCCTAAGCTGAAAGGAAAAAGATATGTGCCACTATTTTTGAGACAAAAAAGGCTCATAAATTCCAGTGGTAAATATGGTGGTCCTTGGAAAGCTGGAGGAAGAGGAAAAGAAGCAGAAACAGCAGAAGGAGGAGGAGGAGGAGGAGGAGGAATGATCATTGTCAGGGAGAAAGGAACTATAATTCATCCCTCTCTTAATCTTTGAGGTATTGGAATACCACAGGAAAAGCCCAACCCCAGGGATACAACAGCCTTACATCTGTTCGTGGAAGATCAAAAAGAAAAGAAAGATTTGTAATGTGAATGTTAAATTGGGCCTTTTTAAAACTTTCAAATCTGGCAGAAGGTTGTGGTGGCCTTGATGCTGGGGTTCTCCAACGCAACGTGAGGGATGAAACAAGCTCCGTGCCCCCATACTCTGCACAGGATTCCACCCAGAGCTCAGAGTCACATCAAAAGACATCAGGGGCACAGAGGAAATGTTTTAAAGCTTGTTCGGTCTTCCTTTTACAGCTAATGTGGCCTTTACATGGAAGATTCCTGCAGAAATCTCTTTCCCGCTGCAAAAACAATGAAACTGCCTCCTGCCAGGGAAGTAAGTGGAAGAGTCAGAGAATGGATCACTCATCCTTTCTAATCTCCTCATTATGGCTTCCTTGTCATCCTAAATTATAGGTGAAGGTACCTGGCTTAATTGTCTTCTAAGTCACTCTCCTATCTTCCTGTTTGCTAAATGCCACAGTAGAGAAATGAAGGCTATCTCAGTTATTCCTTTGCTATCTGGTTGCATCATTGGCAGGGGATATTTTAATTAATTTGAAAAAAGGCCTTGAATCTTTTACCATGTATATTTATGAGACTGAATTCCTATAAAAATGTATAGATTTCCTTTCCTTTCCTCTCCTCCCCTCTCCTCTCTTTCCCTCCCTCCCTCCTCTCATTATCAATGCAACCAACTTAAACCTCCTCCAATGTGTGTAGCTATTCCTAAATTCTCCTCTCCCTTAGAGTTCACCAAAAGCAACATTTTTAATTGGCTATTTCTTGGATAGATGTAATGCTGGTTTTTTCCTTCTTCTTCTGATTCTCTTTTCCTTTGGGTCATCCATCCCTCCATGGTAGAAATGACATCTCAAGCAGGTATGATGATTCCCCCCCTCCCCCGTTCACTCTGGATCTCTTTGATGGTCTTTTCACACCCTCCTACAAACTGGAATGTGGAGCTCTTCGGCAGCCAAAACTGCTTAAATCCAGCTGAGTTTGCCAACCATCGCCTTCTCCGTCTTCAAAACTCCAACAAGAGTCTCTCTCTCTCTCTCTCTCTCTCTTTCTCTCTCTCTCTCTTCCTGCCAACTCATCGGCTCACTTTGAACTTCTTTTCTCAAAACGTCTGGCTTGAGAAACTCTGAAAACCTTATCTCTTTCATTCCCTTCTATTTTCCCAGACTGTGCTTATCAGCTCTGGTTAGAGCTTGTGTGTCAGGAAGATCACATGTTTGGATGGCAGATGGTGCTTAGCTGTTTTATCTGAACTCATTGCCTGGATCGGGATGCAAGCTGGTTTTATTTTTTAAATATAAAAGGTGTGTTTGATTTCTTAGCCCTTTTCCAATAAAACTAATCAGATTCCATGTTATGAATGGAATATAAGGAATTGCACTCCCAAAACAACAACATCCAAACTCCAAGAATATCTAGATGGGGCCGGGAGAACCATTAGATTATTTCATTTCAGTCGAGTTTAACGTTCAGAATAATTAATATGATTATTAGGGGTTAAGTGATAGTTCTCACTTTAACCCAAATCATTGCTTTGAATTAGTGTCGTAATTGATTTGGCAATAATCATCATGATAAATATTTGGAAGAATCAGTGCCTTCTTGGTTTGTTTCAGTGACTTACTGGCTCTCGGTGATGGCTCTGAAGTTTTCCTGGTGAGATTTTAGGAAGTGATCTGCTATTCCTTCTTTCCTAAGACTGAGAGAGAGAGACTAGCCCAATGTCACCCAGATGGCTTTGTGCCCTGAGGTGGAACTAGAACTCACTGTCTCCCAGTTTCTAGGTGCACCAAACATATTCTTGCATATAAAAACTTGAGCATTAAATCTTAACGTATGGTCTTGATCCTTTACACCTGTCATTCATCTAAACTAAAGCTCAGTACTAAATTGGCACCAGATAAGGGTCAACAGAAATCACTAGGAGTTGGATTTGGACCGCTGGTGGCAACATAACAAATCTTAGCTAATGATGTCCTTAACTCCACCCTCCAGTGCTGCCTGCTTTTCTCCTACAGTGTATGTCTATCACACCAGTTAATAAAGTTAAATTATTGGAAAAATAGCACTAGCACTTAGACTTATATACTACTTCCCACTGCTTTACAGGCCTCTCTAAGCAGTTTACAGAGTCAGCATATTGCCCCCAACAATCTGGGTCCTTATTTTACCGCCCTCGGAAGGACGGAAGGCTAAGTCAACCTTGAGTCTGGTGAGATTCAAACTGCCAAATTGCAGGCAGCCGGCAGGCAGTAGAAGTAACCTGCAGTACTCACTCTAACCACTGCACCACTGTGGCTCAAAAGGGTTTTCTCAAATCCTGCTGCATCATTCGGTATAGTGGAACAATTCCACCTCACTTTCTTTCACTTTTCCTAGGCCAAATTTGAAGCTGGAGGCCTTCCAAGAACTTTCCTGCCCTATTTCCCCACCCATTAATTGTTACACATGCACCCAACGCTACATAGAGTGATATAAGATAAGTGGAATGAAAAGAGGGACGTTCTTCTCCATCAAAGCATATGTTCCAGTGAATATGCAAATCTAATTTCTTCTGAAGCTTTTATATTTTTTTAAAAAAATTAAGCCTCTATAGATTTGGATCCCCACTACAACTTTAGAGGCCTTTATTTAAATCAGATAGGGCTTTAAGGTTAAAAGGTAAAATGAAGTCCAATTAATTTGCCCCGTTTATTATGCACTCCAAAACTCCATACATTTAATTGGAAGTAAAACCAATTAATTCGGTATCCACAAGGGTGTATAAGTTTATAGCCTCGCCTGCATAATATATGAATAATTTCCTCTGTGATTCAGTAACTTATCTCCTGCAAATAGTTTGGTCGTTTTGTTAACGCCATAGTTTTGTTCGATTGCCGAAATGAAAAATTATATTATCGTATCGCCGTGTGCTTAACTAATTTATGCACATCATCCGCAACATTTGATTTATGTTTGTTTCCGTCTTACCTTTAAAGAACCAGATTTTTCTTTTCTGCCAACAATCAATACCTCCACTGTATCTTCTGCCCAGGCTGACTGTGCGTGGATGACTAAAGCACTCTCAGCATCTGATAGATTTCTCAGTGCAACTAAAGCTCCATTGGGTTCCACCCTGAAGTCTGGGCTGGAAACTTCAAAGTTCAATTTGTGATTTTCTTGACAGTCATCAAATACCACTAAGGGGAGGAAGAGAGAAAGAGAGAGAAAGAAACAATGTCAAAGGTGTCCATGAAATATCACGCCATTGATAGCTAGTTGACTTTTATTAGAGATCTTATTTGGAACATTATTGGTCCAACGGTTTCAATTTTAATAATTGTAAACAGTTCTCTAATGATGAACAACAAGGAAGGGAGGGAGGGAGGGAGGGAGGGAAGGAAGGAAGGAAGGAAGGAAGGAAGGAAGGAAGGAAGGAAGGAAGGA